CCCCAAAACCCCAAAACCCCAAAACCCCAAAACCCCATGATCTTGAAGAGACATTGTATTTAAACTCCATCAAGATTATATCAAATTTATTAAAAATTGGAGAATAAGTGAAGGATGCTCGAGCTACTACATCAATACCCAAAACTCTACTCTTAGTCTAAAATTTTACTTTTCAAGCAGAGATTTCTGACTGTTTCATTGGGAGAATTGAGGTTAAGAAGTGTTGGAATAGTGAGACCTCATGGGTGAAGAATGTCTCTGGAGATGATTGGTGCCGTTAGCAGGATTATTTTGAGAGATACTAATAGAAATTCTAAGAAACTCCAGAGGTCTGCTTCAGACATGAGAGACAAATATGGAACTTCCTCACACTCCTGAACCTTAGAAAATAGAAGGGATGTGAATAGAGTCCTTTATTTCTTGTTAGGATTCTGTGATGAGGAGGGTCAATTCTATTATCAGCTAACTTTTATCATAAGTGTTATGTACTGGTATTGTTCCAGGAATCAGACATTTTGTAGTAGTCTTGGTTCCTGCTAGGGTGCTTCTGGTCACCACTTGTGTTGAAGACAATGGTCGATTCGCTGTCACATGCTTCGTCACCGAGAGGCAAAGGGGCTGGAGGAGCGTTCTTATAGTGCTAGAAGAGTAAAAAAGAGAACATACTGTGGTGGGCTTTCCGATACTGAGTTTTAAGTTTTTCTTTCCGAAGGTGTATTCGAATGGCTATATGAGAAATGAGTGAAATTTCTATTGCTGACTGGTAATCATTGTTTCAAGAATTTAATGTGTATAAATTTGAAATGAGGTATAGATTTTATTACATTCTTTTGAGATGAGGCACTCTTAGGTTTCTTTTTGGGAGAGGTAGAGCATTCTATATTTTTAAGTCTTTTTCATACTTTTTAGGTCAGGGTAGCTTCTACCGTATTCAAATGGCTGAAACAAAGCTTTTTCGATAGAACTTTCTTTCAGTTCAGAATCTTCTTGTTCTAAGAGAGTTATTTGATAGTCTTACTGGATTCATGATGATTAATGCTGTTAATGATATCTTGAGCTTCGAACTCATCGCTTCTGTTTAAATTCTTTCTGGCAGAATTTAGTTTTGTTATAAACTTAGGCCGAATTTCTTCATCCATTTTTTTGTATTTCTTGATACTTGAAAACCTACTAGTATTCTGAGCTTCTTCTTCATTATTTGGTGATAAATCTTCAATGTCAGCGTTTGAGCTCTCGTTTAGTTTGTAATTTGCTAATTCATACTCAATCTCTTCGTTAAGTGTAGTTTTGCTTAGATTTGGCATGCTTTGCGTCTCTCTTAAGGCTACATCATTACGCCAAAATCTAATACCTTTCATATTTTCTTCATAAAAAGAATTTGTAAATATATTTTCTTGATGAGAATCTTTGCTTTCCCTATTTGCCCCATCATTTCTCATTCTTTCGTGACAGCTAAAATAAAATTCTGCTTTTTCTTCTTCCGTTACATCCTCATTTTTAGAAGAATTGTGGCCTTTACCATCACTTTTGATACTTCCTTCAACAAATTACTCACAAAACTTACTCGATTGGTTAATCTGCATTTGCTTTTGCTCAATCTGCTCCATCAAAGGACTCTTACTCCTCTCTAAGCTCATATAGGAATTAGGATGAGAGTTTTCCTGGTAAGTTTCCTGTCATGCTTCTTGGTAGATCTCTGAAGCAACATTGCTTGACTATATACAAACTTCGTTCAAATCTTACCTCTTCAGGGACCTCAGGAAGGAGTACTTCACTAGCTTCCATTTCTAATAACTCACTGCTGTCTTTATTGGAGAAATCTCCATTTTCGTTTCTGTGGTTCTACATAAAAATCTATTAAAGATCAAAATATTAAAAAGAATTTCCATTAAGTCATTCTGACAGATTTTTAACTCATAGGAAGGCTGGCATATGCTAAGCACACCGAAATGAATATCATAAGATAAAACTAACTATCCCACTACAAGTATTCCATCAGTATTGATACGAAACTATTAAAAAAGAACCTAAGACCCTATATAAAAATCTAACTGAGCCAGCACAGCCGTTCAAAATCCCCCTCTATAATTCCTACGCACAAAAATCCTTATTTAGCAGCAGGAGGGGAGAACTTTAAGGCCAGATTTGTACGTTGAGGGTTGAGGGGAGGAAAGTACCTTTGGAAGGGGATTTGAGGGGTTTTGGGTGGGAGCTGAGGGGGGTGGGAATGGGTAAGGGGGTGGGACTGGGGTGGTGGAGAGGGAGGATTGAGTTGGGGATTGAGAGAGATGGGAGTTTTGAGGGATGTGGCTTTTGTAGAGGTAGAAAACGAGGTCTTTGAGTGCTCTAACCTCTGATTCTAGGGTATCGATTCTGGAAGAGCATTGTGTGCAGGGGTTGGAGGGAGGATCTGATGGTTTATTGGGAATTGGCATCTATAGGTTATTGTGAATAATTGAGTAAGATGCAGAGATTTTAGATGGAATAGTTTATTATAAAAATATAGTACAAATCAGAACTCATAAATAACCTTTCATTGATTATCTTTGTAATTCTTTGTAATTTACTGATGGTGAGGTTATCAAAAATCTTGATAAATCAGATAATAGCATTCATTAAGGTACTTCATAAGACAAGGGAAACATTTTGAGTAATTTCAACTAGTCTTCATTAAAGATATAGCATGCTAAATAATATTTTGCATAAAAAATGCTCTTTAGCTTACCATTTTATGTAAATTAATTTTAATTTTAGAGTAGGGGTTTTGGGGTTTTGGGGTTTTGGGGTTTTGGGGTTTTTAAATTAAAATAGAAATAAATATTTAAATGGCCTTTATGGACGAAGAACTTAAAATGCCTGAGTCAGGAGCTGAATTAGAACAAGACGATGAAAGAAACCTAGATATCTACGGAGAAGGAGAATTCACTGACGCTTTCTTCAAGACCTTAATGAGAGTTCAGAATAACGTGGTAAATCTTCCAGGCAAAAAGGAGCATTTTGACATTTATCTTGCTAAGAAAATTTACCCTGTCCTTGTCCCTGGTCTTGAGAGCTTATCAAAAGAAGTAGAAAGACTCATGCAAGACGAAGGACAAATCGATTCTTCTATCAAGGAAAGATTCAATCCTTGTATTTTCCTTGCAGAATACCTTATGAGCAATAACCCTAAATACGGTCATCAAAAGGAATATACTGAAGTTTTTGAAAAATATGCCAGAATCGAGCGAAACCGCCGCTTCTGGAGTGAAGAAAGACAGAACTTCCTCAGAGAATTCATGGGACAGAGCTACCAAAGCAACTTCACTATCCAGCACATTGAGGAATTCGTAGAACTGATTGATAAGTACCTCAATGCCGAAGGCACAATTAAAGATGCTACTAAAGTCAAAGATCTCTTCAGGTTCTTAGATGAAGACCAGGTGATCAAGTTCGAAGAATTCTACGAAATCTTCTCTAGAAACCTCATCGATTGAAATACAATAGACTATGAGAAAATCACTGAAACTGCGGAGGAGCAGCAGAAGAAGAGAGACACTGAGAAATTTAAAAAGAAAATTGATAGACTAATCTAAGCTCAATTTTATAATAATTTTATGGGGTTTTGGGGTTTTGGGGTTTTGGGGTTTTGGGG